CTGCATCTACACGAGGAAAGTCGGTCACTCATACGTTGGTACCTAACGCTGTAAATAAGCAAGTTGTATGACAACTCAAAGCCAAGGTGCATACAGGACTTTCGTGATCGATGTTGATTCAGGAAGGATATTGAGGAGTATTTGGTAAGAACCGCTGTCTTAGTACTTGTGTATTGCCGTACTGTATCAGGCCTGGCAGAGATGGTCAGCTAGCCGATGGTCTATCAGGCTCCTGTACCCTCCTAGACGTTGGGGCTTCTGAGGGCAAGGGTAGCCGTGCTCTGGTCATGACTCAAAGCTTGGTCGATCGTCCATGTATATCATCCGTGAGTATTGCCGATCCAGAATCGGACTGTATCGAGGTCATGGCATCACCTCAAGTGTCATGGAATGTAGGATGGGATGCTCTTATCATCGGTTACTTGATCGTTGGAGGCCTCCAATCCTCTTAGGGTGGATCACCTCCCACCATCTCACTCGTACAAGGGGAGTCCTGCACTGGTCTATTGGTAACCCCTGCTGTATGGAATGAGCAGTTAGTCGCCAGATTGCACGGTGGCCCTCATAGTTTTAGTGCTAATGCATTCGTTGGAGACGTGGCTTATCTGCTGCAGGCAGGCTTTGCTGTTGTATTGCCCAACTATAGGTGATACATTCTTTGCGCACTATACTCTCCGATCATCCTCTCGTCTCAGAGGATCTACATCATTCGGATTGGACTTCCTCAATGCTCTTCCTGGCCATGCTGGTACTATGGATGTTGCTGATTGTGACGACATAGTCGTGCATGCTATACAAGATCTCGAGAAGAGTACAGGTGAGGACAATCGGTCTCCGCCAAGTCGTTCATGCCGCGGTAGGTAAGAGGGTTAAGGGGGTCAGCATATTTGGCGGCTCGCATGGAGGATTCCTATGTGGACATCTGGTCGGGTCATCGGATGCAACAGTGAGGGGAAGGTAGTGTGTGCAGTAGCTTGAGTGTCCTCGTCATGTTGGTCGCCTCTGTCAGGTATCAATGTGGCATACTGTGGAATCCAGCTGTGGATTTACTCTCCCAATGCCTCACTACGGATATACCCGAATGGTGCTTTGTGGAGGCCTTTGGGGAGAGGGATGGGGCCTCAGACTTTGACTATCAACCTCTGACCAATGAGCAGATGGAAAGGATGAGAGAGGTCTCAGCTACTCATCTGGCTAAGAATGTTGACAAGCCTGTTATTGTATTACTTGGTGAGAGTGATCAAAGAGTACCCCATATGGGTGGGCTGAGGTAGGATCATTCGTTGATCGTTCCTCGTTTTGATTGATTCCCTTACAGATGGGCCCAAGCAGTGTCAGTTAATGGTCATTGTCCTTCAGTGGATGTGTATATGTATCCCGAGCAAGGTCATGCTATAGATAAGCCTGAGTGTAACACTAATACCTCAGTTCTTGTCTTGTCCTACCTCATGACCCAGGCTTCATCCCATCGGGAGTAGCAATCATAGTCCTCTTCTAATCGGGTTTTGTTGGTGTGTTTCATCATAATTCTGATTACAGTACTATCAACAAGTATCGTTGTGTTATGTCAGGACCTTGAGCTACGTCTAATACAGGATCGTATTTCTCCTATTTATCATGTCTCACCGTGATCGCTTCTTCCCAACTCGTGATGAGCCTGAGGATGACGATGAAGTAGATGCTGGTAGTGAAGCTATGGAGGATGATAGAGTGAGCACGGCCTGCGCTAGACCTATAGTCTGCTATGCTATGTGCATTAGATTAGTGATGGTGTCGATGACGCTATTGAGGAGGAGGATGAGGGAGAGGGCGAGGATTTGATGGATAAGTAATACAATTGATACCTCATCTGATTAGCATAGTCATTCAGCATGGAGGAGGATTATCGTCCTATGCCTGAATTGGATCGATATGATCCCAGGATGCTGGATGAGCAGGAGTATGGTGATGATGCTGGTGCTAGGAGGCGTGCTGAGAGGGAATTACGAGAGAGGGATAGGGGACAAAGTGATTCGATTGTTACCCTACATCATCATCATCATGATCTTGGCCATGCATTTAGGACGTAGAATGCCAGGAGCGGTGTTTGGTGGGGATAGTTCGGATAGTGAGGATGATGATGATCGTATGGGGGCCTATGAGAGGAAGAGGCGTAGATTGGAGAGGTTGAGGAGAGCTGCACAGGCAGAGGTGGGGGATATGGCAACCACTGGTCCAGTGTTAGTCGTGAATAATAGGATGACGATGCTGCTATGGATGAGGAGATCGATGCCGATCTTATCGATCTTAATAATGAGGAGGTTGGACCTGACACTGACCTCTCTCCGTAATGATGCCCACTATTCGTGTATCTGAGTGCTATATGCCAGGGATTCACGTTTGGGCAAGAAGATTATTGCCAACTTCAGCAAGTTCTTACAGACATTCATCGACCCAACAGAGGATGCCTATGAACCCTATTATTCTGAGAAGGTGGGGTTTATCAGTCTCTGATCAAGAAGGGACATTTACAATGGTGACAGTTCTCATACCCATTCTTAGATTCATCATATGTGTGCCGAGGGGAAGACATCCTTCACAGTATCCTTCCATCCTCACCTGGCTGATTGGTAGTGATCCCCATCTAGTAGTGGTCCTGTAGGTAGTAACCTTAGGTCGCCTTTCATGGCACAGTGGCTGTGTGATCGTCCCCATCATATCCTCAAGCTGCTGCTTGTATCGGCTACTGAGTTCACTAAGAAGAAATATAAGGAGCTGTAACACATCCTCCATCGTGTATGGGCTGATTATCAGGATTAATGTTAGGTTCGCCAATGACCGTCATCGAGAGATCAACGTACGCATAGTCAGCTTCCCAGTTGTCGATCTAATAAGGAATCTTCGGGCATTCCATATCAATAAGCTAGTCAATGTTGTTGGTAATGATGAGGATGGTTGTAGTGGTGGTAGTGGTGGTCATATCAATGGAGTATCGCTTTTACACAATCATTCATGAGCAACTGTTGTCATCAGGTGTTGTGACCCGTCGTTCTGTGCTACTACCTAAACTACGTGTACTCTACCTCACCTGTATGAACTGTCAGTTCCTCTGCGGACCTTTTGACCTTTCTGCCAGCGAAGAGAGTAACCCGAACATATGTATACTCGAGATCTCTATACCCAATTCTCAGGTGGAACTAGCTTCAAGCCGGGCCATTGCCCAGAGTGTCAGAATACTGGACCGTATGCTGTCAATCGTGAGGAGACTGTGTACAAGAACCATCAGGTCATGAAGCTCGGATCGAAACCCGTCCTTATCTGAGGATCAGTTTTGCAGGTTATCACACTACAGGAGGCACCTGGATCGGTACTACCTGGTCGTATGCCAAGGAGTGTTGAAGTTATCCTCAGTGATGATTTGGTCGATAGTGTTAGGCCTGGTGATCAGTGCTCTATTGTTGGAACCTATCATGCTAGGTCTGATACATCTTCGCCTGTTACCTCCATCATCATTCCTATTAGGTATGACAGTGCAGGTAACGTGAGAGCAGGGTTCCCAGTATTCAAGTGTGCTATTGATGCTAATTCCATAGTAAGGCAGAATGAGATGAAGATAGAGAGTGTCAGAGATGAGGATAAGAGAGAGTACATCCACTACTCGCCTCTCGACACTGTCACTGTTGCTATTCAGAATATTCGCGTTATCGAAGGATCCCCATGTCAGGGAGCGAATCATTGCTTCAATTGCCCCATCTGTCTATGGTATACACCCTGCTACCAACATATACTCCATACGTAACCCACTCAGTGCTACTACAGTGAAGACAGCTTTGGCTATGGCCCTCTTTGGTGGAAGGAGAAAGTAGCACAGGTAGACATAGGATAAGAGGGATATCAATGTGGGTCTTACTCGAGATATATGGGAACATACT